CGCCCTGCCCAGAAAGAACGGACGCCTCCCTTGCATGTATCGCCTCTGCCGATAGACCCCCACTGCCATTCTGCTACTGTGAACTGGCAAACATCACTGTAAATAAATTGGACTGGAAGATTACTCTAGGTTTCCCTCCCTCTACAGACCTGCCTCTGGGAGGGGTCCCACACCTGGACTCTCAACTGCGCCTCAGAGAAAAGTTGCATTTTACTCAACATTAGTCTACATTCAGTTGGAGTATCTGTATTAACTGATTGTGGTCAGGTGATCATACGTCATCCTTTACTGATAGTTTGCAGGAGTTTGGTTTTAAAGGGACAGTTCACCCCAAAGCTGAAATTAAAGTGTTAATGTCCAGTTTAAAAACTCCAGTACCAAGACGTTTTATGTTGGTATTTTGTAAGTAATTCAGCATATAGGCAAATGAAAGGGGTGACTAACATTCTTCATTATTTTCCTCACTTTGCAGACTTTAGCTCTAAAATTCAGTTTAGTTCAACTCCAACTATAATCTTAGTATTTATACAACAGCCCTTCATGATCCTCCTTCACAACCACAGGGGGGACAATACACCGCAGTATTTAACTGATAAATAATTAAGAAATTGCTGCAAATGTTTGGACCAGTGTGACCATCTTTACAAGTGTAGGCAGGTTGTCCTCGAGACTGAAATCATTGTTTGTCACATTTGACTCGGATGCACTGTAAAGAGAAGTAAAGTGAAACCTATTTTTTGTGGTTATGCTCATGCAGGTTACCCCAATATGTAAGGAGATAAATGAATACTCTGACATTGTTAAATTATTTGTTTTCATGTGCAAAGTTAGATAGGGATGGGTGGATCGACACTACTGATAAAATAAATCTTGTTTTGAGTATCTGTACTATAGGATTGAGTGTTAAAAAACTGGGTCCAGCCTGGGCACATGAACATGCTTCTTAATGCTGCAATATTTGGCTCTGCTGCTGTTGTGTACAACTCTTCAGAAATGCTTGACAAACTAGGCATTACATGTGAACTCTTGGAAACAGCTGCACATCATTTCACAAATACATGGAATTACTTCCATGAACAACATTTATCTGAAAAAATGTATGGTTTAAAACATTTATTACTGGATGTTACATCATATAAAAAGGTCCTGAGGAAATGAAAACAAGACCTACAGGCACTTTTTTGGAGCATTTGTTCTTCATGCTGGGAATGCAAGTTCATTAATGTGGTACATACAGTATGGACAGTTTACAGTATGTATGGTGTTAGAGACGTAAGGCAATAAGTTAGTCTGTTGCAAAGGATCACCTGGCCTAGGAACAGAGTAGTGACAGGCATGAACAAAACAAAATGCTCCATCTATTTTACAGGAAGTGAGTTTCTTCAGAAAAGTTTAATATAAGCTGTTAGAAACATCTGATCTCCCTGAAATTCAACAGTAGTGTGTAACAACAATCATGACTGTAGCACTCATTAACGAAATGGAAATTTGACTTAATGACAGAAATAATGTAATAGTAACAACTCCCTTCTTCAGTCCTGCTGTTCATCTTAGAACACAGTTCAAGTTAAAATCAACCAACAGCTGATGCTTAACTTGCATTTAAAAAAAACTGCTCCTAGATGTTTACTGTAATCATGTTTGGTATGCTAATTGATGGCAAATTCACAAGGCATTTGAACACTGATGTAGCATTCAGAAAAACTTGGCATTGTTGCTCTTGACACTTTTTAAACACCTACAAAATAATTAGGAAATTAGATGCAGCTACACAGAGTCTTTACAGTTTAATCAGTTCACACTGCAGCATGTGACTGATGAGTAAGCCACAACGGCACCTCCGGTCATGTTTGAGTAGAGGAGGCTGAATAAATAAAGGCCAAGTCTGTCTGATCTCAAGGTCCCTGCCCTTAAGTACAGCCAGCCACTCTCCTTAACCAGCAGGACATGCACATATTTCCCAACAGAGGGTGCTTTCTGCTCAGTTACTGCACTGGGTTCTGTGTAGTTAAGATAACTGGCTTCCTTTTGGTCCTTTTCCACCTGCCTCTTTCTGGCAGTTTGATCCTGTCCAGCCTAGTTTGGTCTGGAGAGTCCACTTTTAAGAAATAGCACAGATAGTGCTGTTACTTTGGTTCTTTGTGGCCTCCCTCTTCAGCTCTCTGGTGATCCTCCTCCTGATGCCTTCAAGAAACAAGCCTCGGTCAAACTGTCCCGCACACAGAGGGATACTGAAAAACACAGGGAAATATAGTACACCAGATACTCCCATCAGAAAATTCTTCACAGATAATGAGTACAGGTTAAAGGGGCAGATTTTTACTGTCCAAGCATCTGAAAATGACCAAAAAATATTCATGTGAGTTTTTAAAAAAATGTTCATTATAAATACTTTTGACTCGAAGGTCTTTCTTTGCCTGGGCTCAACAAAATACTAGATCATTTCTTGCTTTATAGGATTAAAATGGCCCTGCTCAATGAAATTACAACCTAATGCATTTTTAACTGTACATCATCACAGGATGATGCTATAAAAACTAGTGCAGTGAGATGCTTCAGCAGTGAAGACTAATCAGTTTCATGAAGAAAACAAACTGCGGAATAAACTGCAAATGCAACTTTGTGAATTGGGACAGCAGCAGCGACAACAGACCTGATAACAGTACTCTACATGCTATTGTAAATTATTAAATTAGATTAGTTTGTCTAAAAAAACTGGATGGTACTGATAAGTCAAACTCAAAGGTCATTTCAAGATCACATTCCATTTTCAAAAGTTCTGGATGAATCTAACTTTGCAATTTGTTTTATTAATTTTCACAACAATACAAAATATAAAATGTTCAAGAATAGTATTATATTAACAAATAAATGTCAACATACTGTGCTGCCCAACCCTACTTTTTGACAGAAACCAATACATTGCTGAAAGCATCCTTCCCATGATGCCACTAGTTTAAGGTATGTTTTCAGCCACAGGACTTACTTATCTCTGCCTGGCCTGAGTTTGACCCGGAAGACTCCGATGACAGGCCGGTGGTCTGAGGTCTTGATGCTGGAGCAGCTGGTGTACTTCACGACTTTAATGTCATCAGCTTGTCTGTTCCTGAACAGGATCCTGTCCTGTGAACACAAATTGCTATGAGCTACAAGGTTCTAACTGAAACTGGCCAGTTTAGACTCCGATTAGAGCAGCTGAAAAGTGTATACAGGTGATACAAAGTGCCTTTTGGTGGCTTTGTTGACAGAGCATGTGATTATCTTTACACATGTGAAGCTTGACTTTCTTTTTCATCTTACTGTGTATGAAGGCGTTCTCTGTTTAGATGTCGTGTCGTAGATATCGCAGTTGATGTCAAATTTGTACGTGGGGAGGAAGTGTATTGGTGCCTCTTGAAAACCTTTGAAGACTGAACCTGGGAGGAAAAAGAATCACACTCAGGATGAGAACCAATCAAACACAGCCTTCTATAAAAACCTTTCTAAAAGCTTTCATTGAGATTTGGCCTCCTGAGTGTAAGCATACCGTCCTTCATTTCTTTGGAAAGCTGGTCGTGCTCCAGCAGAAGGCCCATGTCACCTCCTGATGTGTGGCTCATGATGGCCTCCACGTTAGCACGTTCTTCACTAAGCCGGAAGTTAAAATCTCCAAACCAGAAAACCTGGTCAAATCTTGTGGTGACATCAGCTACAATTCAAAATGATAACCTTTGATTTTTAAAAATTGGTGGCCATTAATATCAACACAAAGTCTTTAATCTGAAGTACAGTGCCTTGCGAAAGTATTCGGCCCCCTTGAACTTTGCGACCTTTTGCCACATTTCAGGCTTCAAACATTTTTTTTTTTCCAGCCTAGTTTGGTCTGGAGAGTCCACTTTTAAGAAATAGCACAGATAGTGCTGTTACTTTGGTTCTTTGTGGCCTCCCTCTTCAGCTCTCTGGTGATCCTCCTCCTGATGCCTTCAAGAAACAAGCCTCGGTCAAACTGTCCCGCACACAGAGGGATACTGAAAAACACAGGGAAATATAGTACACCAGATACTCCCATCAGAAAATTCTTCACAGATAATGAGTACAGGTTAAAGGGGCAGATTTTTACTGTCCAAGCATCTGAAAATGACCAAAAAATATTCATGTGAGTTTTTAAAAAAATGTTCATTATAAATACTTTTGACTCGAAGGTCTTTCTTTGCCTGGGCTCAACAAAATACTAGATCATTTCTTGCTTTATAGGATTAAAATGGCCCTGCTCAATGAAATTACAACCTAATGCATTTTTAACTGTACATCATCACAGGATGATGCTATAAAAACTAGTGCAGTGAGATGCTTCAGCAGTGAAGACTAATCAGTTTCATGAAGAAAACAAACTGCGGAATAAACTGCAAATGCAACTTTGTGAATTGGGACAGCAGCAGCGACAACAGACCTGATAACAGTACTCTACATGCTATTGTAAATTATTAAATTAGATTAGTTTGTCTAAAAAAACTGGATGGTACTGATAAGTCAAACTCAAAGGTCATTTCAAGATCACATTCCATTTTCAAAAGTTCTGGATGAATCTAACTTTGCAATTTGTTTTATTAATTTTCACAACAATACAAAATATAAAATGTTCAAGAATAGTATTATATTAACAAATAAATGTCAACATACTGTGCTGCCCAACCCTACTTTTTGACAGAAACCAATACATTGCTGAAAGCATCCTTCCCATGATGCCACTAGTTTAAGGTATGTTTTCAGCCACAGGACTTACTTATCTCTGCCTGGCCTGAGTTTGACCCGGAAGACTCCGATGACAGGCCGGTGGTCTGAGGTCTTGATGCTGGAGCAGCTGGTGTACTTCACGACTTTAATGTCATCAGCTTGTCTGTTCCTGAACAGGATCCTGTCCTGTGAACACAAATTGCTATGAGCTACAAGGTTCTAACTGAAACTGGCCAGTTTAGACTCCGATTAGAGCAGCTGAAAAGTGTATACAGGTGATACAAAGTGCCTTTTGGTGGCTTTGTTGACAGAGCATGTGATTATCTTTACACATGTGAAGCTTGACTTTCTTTTTCATCTTACTGTGTATGAAGGCGTTCTCTGTTTAGATGTCGTGTCGTAGATATCGCAGTTGATGTCAAATTTGTACGTGGGGAGGAAGTGTATTGGTGCCTCTTGAAAACCTTTGAAGACTGAACCTGGGAGGAAAAAGAATCACACTCAGGATGAGAACCAATCAAACACAGCCTTCTATAAAAACCTTTCTAAAAGCTTTCATTGAGATTTGGCCTCCTGAGTGTAAGCATACCGTCCTTCATTTCTTTGGAAAGCTGGTCGTGCTCCAGCAGAAGGCCCATGTCACCTCCTGATGTGTGGCTCATGATGGCCTCCACGTTAGCACGTTCTTCACTAAGCCGGAAGTTAAAATCTCCAAACCAGAAAACCTGGTCAAATCTTGTGGTGACATCAGCTACAATTCAAAATGATAACCTTTGATTTTTAAAAATTGGTGGCCATTAATATCAACATAAAGTCTTTAATCTGAAGTAAGTGTAAGAATAACATTACAGATTGTAAATTTCTTTCACACAAGGCAATCTAAAGAGTCTCACAGGATGTGGAGCGGTAAGGGTTGGTGTCTGGGAGGCCTCTTGGGAGACCTAGCGCCTCGATGATCTTGTTGTAATCCAGTATTCTCTCATAAACTTTGGCGTCTCCAGCTAGAATAATAAGAGTATAATGCCATTACAAACACATGGAACTGCTGGGCTTATAATACTGCAAAGTTTAAATGCAAACATACAATATTAAGGGCACAATGTAAAAGCAGTTATGGTGAGTGTAATTACGAGTAAATGTCTCTCAGATTATATAGACAGTTTAATATTTACAATAACAATAAATGGCAGTATGCTGAAGCAGCAAAAATATCACATCACTTTTTTTTCTTTGTTCTGGCATTTATCAGGGGTGTAGGCAAACATCCAGTATAAATCTGGCATTGATTTTATTTGCTATCATTGTCCAATAAGCATCTTCATTGTCTGCACTTGTCAGTACAGTACTAAATTCTTCATCTACCTACCTATACATTTTTTATCCCCCCTCCTTTGGCTGCTCCTCGCCAGGAGTCGCTACAGTGGCACAGCTGTGCCACACAGGCACAGAGAGAATGTGCAAACTCCACACAGAAAGTCTTTTCAGTGTGATTCTTAGAAGCTTGATACAGGCCTTGATAATAACCTCTTACTATGGTAACCCTCTGCTTCAGTCTGCAGCCTCCCAGATCTGGGAAAATTCATATGACTCACAGGTAAAATGAGATGTGATGAAGAGGAATGAAGTGCCAAAAAACATAAAGGCGACTCCCACAGCTCCTTTGGTCTTGATCTGAGAGATGATCCTGGTTGTGACTGTGGCGTGCTCCACCTCTGTGTGGGTCAACAGAACAAATATTCTGGTTAGTGTAGAGCCAAAACTGTGGAATCAGTGAGATTCAAACACAAAACCATGTGCATGTGCAGAGAAGAAATAAGTCACCATCAAAGAAATACTTCTTTGGCTGATAATGATAATAAAGATAATGTAGCATCTGGTTTTAACATAATTAAGACAAGGGCAAGAAAATCAGCACATCCTCATGGTCAAGAAGAACGAACTTGGAAAGCTATGGCATTTTTGTTTTAAAAAAAGACTAACAGTCAGTTATCAAAATAGCTGCAGAATATTTCTGTGCTTAATCAATTAATTGACAATGTTTCAGTTTGAAGAGCTTATTCCCTCCCAAACTGATGTCTACTTTATGTGACTGACCTGAGCAGTACCAGATGAGGTCTCTTCTGACAAATACAGTGAGATACAAAACACCATGTGATGCTGCATACAGCACAAGGTAGTAAGGTCCCAGAGTCTCCTGAAGGCGAGTCTCCCACTCCCTCCTACACACACAAGGACACATACACAGTATACAGTACTTAACTTTACAGCAATCAATCATAATAATTCAATTTTATTCAGTGACCATGGTAAAAGTCATATCCGACCTGTCAGGACAGCCTTCCTGAACCCCAATAATATAAAAGTCTTGTGCAAATTCAGAGTCCATTGGAAGGAGGAGATCATCCAAGTTGGCTGGCATCCCCTGCAAATCACAGAGCCATGGTTACAGTTCAGTTGGTGCCTGAAATTGTGCTCGAGGTAATAAAACTTTAAACAATTTTCAGTTTATGAGTCATAGTTTCCTCTTACATTTTCTCCCTGCATGTTCCATGTGACAACGTAAATGCCCACTCTCCTGTTGGGGAAGTGGCGGTCCAACTCCTCAGCCCCAAGCAAGGCACCCCTTCCCAGCACGCTGCCCTCCAGAAAGCTCCTGGAACACATACGTAATGGAAAGGAAAATGACATCTATTGGCTGCCAACTTGGCTTGCAGTAATAGTTCATTAAGGCTGCTTCATTTACATATAGGCCATCTGATAGACACTAAATGATAACTGACAACTGATGTTACATTAACAAATTAAAAGTAAAAACTGGCTTTTTCCCCAATGGACACTAACTGTTTATCAAGCCAAGTCTCATTTTTTGTCCCTTCTCCTGTCAAAAACAATCACCTCCTTTGATCCCGTGGTAATCCCCCTCCATAGTGCCACCGCACTGTTCCCAGTGTAAATGTCTAGAGTCCCAGTTTCAGGACTAATTAACACTCTGCCATTGTTACTCCAAACTGCAGATATGCCATGCTAATCAGCTACAAGCAGAGGACATAATCAATACTAAAAGGCTTGTAGTGGATACCAGATACTGTTCTAACTCATATTTAAGCAATTTTCTTTTGACAAAGGTAGGCGAAGCCTGGAGTTCAGACTTATAGAGTAAATCAAGTGTACAAGACTATATTACTGTTGGAATGGATAAAATAAATGTGCACATCCAGTTCTGCAGCTGGCTATCTTATGTTCTCCTGGTCTATATTTAAATTACAAGCTTTGGTACCCTTGAAACAGCCCTCTGACACCAGAAAGAGTAAACCTTTCTCTTCACATTCAACCTGAAGATCATCTACATATGCCTGCTGTACCTGTTCCTCACATCCTGGGGTCTGATGGGGCTAAGCACGCTGTAGGTGGACCTCAAGGAGTTGACAGAAGCACTATCCGACCCCATGTTCTCCAGGAGCTGGCTGTCGCTCAGGATCCTGTGGCGTCTGTCCCCGCTGGCCAGCTCAGCATTATCCAAACAATCCCTGTCAATCCTATTAGCTGCCCCTAAATTGGCTGACATAAAATTCTTTTCCAGAGCAGGCAGTGGCCCCATGGGTTGCACCGGAGACAGAAGTACCTTGTTGGGCCTCACCTGGTGGTCTGTGGGGTCACTCTGCTGACTGTGGGGCCTGCTTTCACACTCAGAGAGACTGTTCCCTCTGTCCCGGAAGACTGGGGATACTGAAGTATCAGTAGAGAGAGCTCCCACATTTGAGTCCTGGTTTCTGATGGCAGGAGCATCACTAAGAACATACCCACCAGCAGCTGGAACTGTTTGGTCCTCTCTGAGTGAGTCTGTGGAAGAGCCAATATCAGCCGAGTCACTCAGACTCTCTTGGCTGTTCCTCAGCCTCCTGGTTCTCACACTCTCATCAACTGAGCCACTTTTGCTAGACTTGAACAACCTTGGTAGTGAGGGTGGTCGAGGCTGGTATGGAATGATCTCTCCCTCTGCGTTTCCAGCAGTGAGTTTAAGTGCCTCATTGTATTCCTTGCAGGGTTTGGCATCTACTAAGGAGGCCTTGCATGACCTGCTGGCATTGACAGCTGACTCTCCTTTACCTGGAGCTTCACGGGACCAGTGCAGGCTGCTGTCCTCTCCATTCTCAGTCATCCTCTCATCATACCTGAGACCAGCTGGGGTTGGGCAGATGGAGCTTTTTCATCACTAGGTGACACACCTGAAGACATAGGGCAGAATGCCCTCAGTTGGCAGTTTATTGGGTACACCTAGCTAGAACTAATGCCCTTTATGTTTAAACTGTTTTGGAGAGCTGTTGATTCATCTCATTTTGGAAGATGTAGTTTGTGGTGCTGTTGAATATGACTGCGTTATACTGATAGGTGTCTATTATTTTATAAGCCCTGTTTGTATATAAATAGTACCACGCTAAATAACAGAAAATACTTCTCTGTATACTTTAAGGCAGTACAGTTCAACAGTAGCACAAAACCGCAGCCTCCAAAATGACCATACTGTCGAATCAACCAACACTCCTCTAAAACAGTTTTAGCAAAAACTAAATAAACTGCCATCTGGATGTAACGTTGTCTCGGTGAAACACTGGTCTTAAAATGAATTACCGGTAGTTTAGCCCGTTAACTATGCAACACAGCATTGTTTAGCGGTCATCTGACTAACCAATAGCTCCCCTTTTAACATTAGCAACTGGAAATACTATTAACATAATCAGATGTCAACAGCAATCGTTAAAATATGCAATTCTATAACCACTAACTAACCGCTAAATGTGTACTAGCACTGAGAGCTAATTAATATTTGCCTGGAATAGACTAATATCAAATTTCATCGTATACATAAGCGTCGTGATTTCTGCCAAGTATGCAGCCTTCAAGACACGTTTTCATAAAGCTTATAGAACTAACATTAGCTGGCTCCAGGTTAACTCAGCTAATAACCCTGTAGTAACTAACGCTAGGTTAGTTAGAAAAACTATAAAATGTTAGCGAAACACAGTACAGGCTCGCTGAGCTAACGTTCAAAGCCGACGTTCATCTGATGTAACGTTATAATAATTACCTAGGTCAAGCTCACAGTTTCTATCTTATGTAATTATTTAACTGCGATTACGTCCAAGAGTCGTTACCTCTCGTATACGGCTGTTTGGTCTCAGAGAGGCTGGTTTTTAAAAAGTAGCTTCCTTAGCAACGTTTGACAACACATATTGTGTTACCAGGACAAGAGAGCTACATGATGAGTAGGCTACAGCATGCGGCCACAGCGCCACCCAGTGGTGCTCTCTGTCTGAAGCAGGAGAGGTTTCAAGCAAGAGTTGAATTGTCATTATACGTACATCACTGGTATAATATGTAATCAGTCTCATAATCACATACACATTTATTTGTGCAGCAGTTTCTTTTATTTACACGCTTTGCTGATAATTATGTAATACTCTCTTAGTTCATGTTTAACTTTCAGACAATTATTATAACAACGAGTTTACATGCTGGTCTGTCACTGGGTGTTTTCATAAAACATAAAAGTTAACAAAGTGCATACAATAACTGCCCTCATCCAGCACAGTATGCCAAAGTCAGTGCCTGTACAAATGACTCACTATGTGTCAGGTGCAAAAGCAACAAAAAATGTTGTTGCTGACAAAACAGTGTATGTCATGCTGAATAAACAATGTCAAGATGTGACCTACAGTTGTTAAAGCATGTGGGTTTTGGGACACAAAAACAGAGCTGTCACACAGGTAAGCACACAACCCGGACCTGGTTCACTGTAAATACGTAGTATACATTCATGTACATGCTAACATTTTGCAAATTGAAAAAAAAAAAGTTAAAGTAAAATGTAAGTTTTTGGAATTAAGCTTTAACAAAGCTAATGTGGCATCATTCTAGGGATGACAATATCAGTTTTTTGGTTGGTCCAGACTGACAGTTGACAGTTGTTTAATGCATTGCCATTAAATTTGGTACAGATATCCAGAGGTTGAATCCTATCCCCTTATTTTTATATAGCAGCAGGTCATTATTTTCACTTATTCTGTTAAATATCTCCACATTTACTAATTGGGTTGACACAAAATAAAGAATAATGACCGTCTTAGTTCCCAGGGGATGAATCTTAATTCCTCTGGTGATCCTCTAACCTTTCCTCTAATAAAATCACAACTGTGGTTTTAAAATTTCTCGATAACTATTAGTTGAATTGTCATGAAATGTAGTACACACATGTTCCCCAAAGGATGAATTTGAATGACATTCCATTCAGGCTCAGCTGTGCTTTGTTTCTAGTGCTAATTAGCAAATGGTAGCCTGTTAGCACGCTCACCTTGAACATTTACTGTTTACATTTGTTTCCCTCTGTGAGTCCTGTGTTGAAATATAATAAAATTAAAAATAAAATTTAAGCACTATACATACAAACATACAAAACAACCTGTACAAAAGATACATGTGTAAATGATTACTTAATTCACAACATGATACCTATAGATTTTTTTACACGGACAAGAAGAGCACATTAAAAGCAAAAGTCTATCTATCATTCTTTCTCACTTTCTCTTCTCTCTCCTCTTCCTCCAGAAAACAGCCAATCCAGTGAGCGAGTTGGGAATCAATGCCCTGATATGAGATTCAGCCTAATGAGGATCAGAAACATCTTAATAAAGACCCATAATCCACCACTTCATCCCTCATTACAGAATCATCTGCATTCAGTGGTCCTGCTCCTACTGCCGCAGTGACGGCACATTCAGGTCCATTGTTCTGCCTCACCTCATCTCTCACCCAGGGCTGCCTCTCCCTTTGTCTCCCATTGGTGTCAGTTATTTTTGATCCTCCCTCATTAGACTTTCAGACGAGATGAGCAGAAGGGCCTGAAAATAGTGCTTTTGTGTGCACTTCTATGTTATCTCCTGTCTTAAATGGAAAATGAGACATATGCTTAATGAGGAGTAGATGGACTGGGACCCACTGTCCGACAGAGAGATAGGGAGTGTATTGTGCAATGATAGTGCTGTCACTGATACGGTTAAAGGGCACACTTTCCAGGCAACATTTCTGTCGGTGATTATAACTTCAGAGAGAGTGAAAATTACTCTGAAGTGGGACACATGGATTAAAGTTTGATGCTGACCCTGAGAGATTCTGAGATTGTGCTTTAGTGCAGCACAGCATTAACACAAAAGTTGTGGAAGTTCCAAAAAATATACTCAAGTACATGTTCTGCAAATATTCTTAGTACATTCAGTACATCCCTGACGGTCCAGAAATTAATCCGCCAAACGCCAAACTTCTTGTCATAAACCTAACTCAAAGTTTTGAAATGGTCCTGTAGATTCAGAATAAAATGCCCTTCAAATAAATAAATAAATTCTCGTTATTTCCTGTCCCCTCCTGCTTTTGATTATAACACACAAGTAAATGTTGCCAGCCATAAACTCCTAGCACACGGTGAAATATCTCTTCTGTTGGGCTGCTGACAAAACTGTCGGCTTAACACTCAGTTTCCTTGGACTGGTGTGAAAGTAGCCTTGCTGACTTCACTGATAGCTGAGAGTGTTGGGGCAACCACAAGACACAAGTTATACTGCCCTGCCTCGTGTTGTCCCCATCAGGTTTTGATTACTACTTTTGTATATATCTAGCTGAAAAACTTCATCTAAACTGTGTGGATATATATTTCTATATTTATAAATAATTTATTTTTTATTTTCCTAATTCACATTCCTTTTTTTGTTTTCACCTCCTTTTTCTTTTTTTTCCCTCAGAGTCTTATGTTATTTACTTGTTTACTGTTTACCTTACATTGTACATGCACACTGAGAGCCACTGTACTGGAATTAAATTCCTCCTGTGTTCAACACACCTGGCCAGTAAACCTGATTCTCTTCAATTCTGTTCTATTACCCTTCTGTTCTTCCAATTCAATTCAGTTTTATTTGTATGCCACCGAAACACAACAAAAATCATCTTGAGGTGCATTGCATAGTAAGGCCTATAGACCATACAGTATTATAGAGAAAAACTCAACAGATCCCCTTTGAGCAAGCACTGGCAACAATGGAGAGGAAAAGCTGACTTCCACAGTTAGTTTTATGGTTCAGTCATTTGGATACAGTTTGAAAAATGTTCATGTTGATTCAACTCCCTGTAACCAGTAGATGGGCTGTCCTGCCACCCCCACCAAAAATCAACATCTCAGTCAGGCCTCCGGAGCCATCTTCAGCTATCAGCAGCAGATTGCTATTATGGTCAGTTATGGTCAGAAGAGATCTCAATCTCAGTACCAAGGGCCAAATGAACAATAAATATTGGCATTAAATATTCAAAATGCTAGCAAAAAAACCCATGACTTTGACAGAGTCTTTTAGAAATACAGTGCAAAAGTTGACATTAGCCCCATCTACACCACATCAAATAGACAGATACACTCAAATTTAGACTAAAAAAGGAGGTTACCATGAAGTTATGTATCAAGAAAGGAGGAGAAATGTTTTTCCTTTAGGTGAAACTATGAGATGATCCCCATAAGGGCTGAATAATTAGCCCCATAAAGGTATGGAGAAGGCTGATTCTTAACCCACACTAACCTTCCCTCGTCATTACTCTGTGTACTGAGGTGATACTGGTGGAGGGGGTAAAACAAAACAAATAAAACTCATTAAAGGTGCCTTTGTGGCTACAAATCCCTCTCTGCAGTATGCCGTTGCAGCACAGACATCATTAGTGCCGGTCAAAGGAACCATCGTTATTCTGCCTGGATATGAACGCAGATCAAAGCCTGGTATAGTTCACTGTCTTTTAACCGGAGGCAGGATTCTCAAAATTACAGCTCCCTTTTTTGGCAGGTTTCCATTTTTTTCTCCCTGATCTCAGTCTGCAGAGATCCACAAAATCACTCCAATAGCAAAAGCAAATCTAAAGATGAAATAAATCTAAATGATTTCTCCAGTGATACATCCATCCATTTTCCTCCGCTTATCCGGGACCGGGTCGCGGGGGGCAGCAGCCTAAGCAAAGATGGTCAGACTTCCCTCTCTCCAGACACTTCCTCCAGCTCCTCCGGGGGGATACCGAGGCGGTCCCAAGCCAGCCGAGG